CATTTGGTTTTCTTCCACTGTTTTACTACAGACTTCATAGCATGTCTGCAAGCTGGTGAGTGGAAAACAAACGGTGTCTGATGTTCTTCAATCGGATCAAAAATTATTTCTGCTGAACATCCCGTTTTCTCTTGATAAACCACATACTGCGGACCATAATATTTTGAGAAACATACCTCTTCATGTCCAGTCAAATTCTTTGGTTCCGTTACTGCTATCTGGAAAGGGTCAGCTCGCAATAACGTATAATCTTCGTCGATCCGAATTCCATTAATATTTATGACCAGTTTGGTCTTTCTTCCCATAGCTGCATTGATCATCTTGCAACTTTCCATATGCCAGTATTTCTTAGGAGTATCTTCTCCCATTGTTATTCCAGGAAAAAGCAATTCTAATGATGATGCAAATTTTGCATTTTCCGGATTAAATACTTGGTGAATTTGGCCTTGGGATTCGCTGAATTTAATATTCAACATGGTCATAATTCTTTCAGATTCTATTTCGGATCTTACTTCATATAGATCATCATGAAGTTTTCTGATCATTGCCAACATCTTTTGATTTATTTGATGTTCCAGCTTTCCCAATGCTGGATCATAACCATCACTATTCGAACTGAATAAGTTAACTAAACCAACTGCTGCAATAAAGGTTACCACCAGTTTCACTGCTTCATATGCAATACTGATTACACCTCTTTTAGCAATTTGGTGCTCTTCTTCGACCATTTCCTCTTTGCAATATTTTTTCAATGGTCTTTTTATCATTTTGATGTACATTGCTGAACATGTTGAAACTGTTGATATGATGAATCGTTTTTCAATTGTTCATAACGATTTCTTATTATCTTGTCTTTGAATTGTTACCAAATGGATTGATTTTCTTAATCCTACTGGCTTGTAATGTTTCGAACTTTGGACGTTGGATGAAGATCTTTGTTGAATCTTTTTAGCCAAGGTTCAATTGAAAACAAACATTCGTTGTTTGAATGCTTCACGTTCACTTGCCGTAAAATCATTTTAAAAAAATTGTTGGTGGTTATAAAAATCTGTATTCGACGTAGTGTTTGTCTTGATTTGTATTTTATTGGAATACAAACATCTTTGCCTTCCAAAATTTCTTTCACCACTTGAACTGATGATTGGGATATGTTCATTTCATTGATTATTGCAATACGTTTGTTGTACATATTTTCAAATGGGAAATTTGATGTTTTATTAATATGGCTTTCAATATGCCCAGAGTTCCATATTAATTTTTTAATCACTGTAATGAAATAGGTTTTTCCACTACCTGGATCACCAAAAATCGCCAATGCATTATATTTCATAAATACTTTATTTAATGTTGCATATACGCATTTCATGAATACTTTACATTGATTTCTTGAATGAAATTGTTGCCACAATAATGTTTTGGCAATTTCTAGACTTGTTTCGATATCGTAGAATTCATCAGACCAAATACAACAATTTCTTATTGCAATTATTTTTTCAAGTGGCAATTCGTTCCATTCATCTAGAAAATCGTTCCATACCACGTTTGTCCATTTATTTATTTGGTCACATTGCAAGATTCGAATTTCTTTTGTTAGTTCTTTAAATTCTTTCAATTTATGTAATTCTGTTAAATTGTTCGGAAATCTTGATTGTATTATTTCCTTGACCTTTTCGTAGAGGTGGTTGATCGTTTTATTACATATTTTGAATTCGTCCCTTGCATGTTCATCATCATCGTTTCTTTGGTGTTGTTGTATTGATTCACAATTTTCTGGAACATGGTATGTTTGGGAGAACCATTCAATACATTTTCTTTCGAGTGAAAACTCACTCGACGACTCCCATTTTGCGTTTCGGTAATTTTCAATTCGATTGTACAAATCTTCGGGGAGAGTCCTACCTGTTCCAAAGAATTGAATTGCCAAATTTTTCCGTTCTAATTGGAATAAATATATAATTGTGGCAACCAATCTGCTGACGAGATGTTCTGTTGCAAATTTTCGGTCCCACTTGATAGAGTATCTTTGTTGCCTAATATAGGTTGTAATTCGGCACTTACAGTCTTGTCGGTGATAGTTGTTGCAGAGGTGCAACCAATGGATGTGGGCAAAACTGGTTCCAGCGGCGTGGATTCCCCAGATTCCGTTGGATTTGGGGTATTTGGCAATGAATCCGTCAATATCTCGTTGCAGTTCAATTTCATCAGGTTTTCTAGTCTGGTAATCAGATCTATAAACGACTCCTTGTAATCTTCTTGACTGAAAAATCGTTGGATCATTGCAGAGAATTTTGTTAAACCAACTGGCCAATTCAGAATACAATAGTTGAGTATCCCTATTGGCTTACTGGACTCGTTTTTGCTGAAGTCCAATTTGTTTCAAAGAATTAAATTGAGATTACTTTATTATTTT